CATTCTGACGCAAAAATTTACATAATAATTATACAAAAAAATTATATCGTATTGTAGCTTAAGTTCTAAAAACTTCGCATATAAAATTACATATTTTCTGGAACTTGTCAATTAAAAATAAAAGAAATCCGATTATTTTTGAAAGACTTTGGATCAGACAGTAATTATTCGCTTCATTATGTATTTTTCCTTGATGAATGAGCATTATCAGGCCAATAATGTAAATAATGTGAAATATTTTGAAGTTAGGCCTCAATATTCGTGTAACACGTGCTCATAAGATGTTAGAGATAGAAAGAAGTAAACGAAGCCTTTTATTTTATAAATGTCTTCAACGAGAGATAAGGAAGGCTGGTAAAAATATGCGAATCATGATAAACAACACATTATTATTATGCAAAATAATTTTGTAAGCCGCCATTATTTTCGTTACACCGTAAATAATAATAATAAATAAATAGAGAAACAAATATAAAAATGAAAATAAAATGAAAATAGAATAAAATAATTTGGAATGTTTTGTCCAAGTATTATTATCACTAGACCTTTTTTGGAAAGGATGGGATATTCCGATTAAAAAAACTGGAAGTTAAATTCTTTGCTAATTTATACACTTCTAATTCTTCTATCAAATGAACTCTATTATTACTATTTCTAAGTTTCAAGTTATTTCATAATCACCATTATAATTATAAGAACAATAATGCTTATTATGAACACTATTACATAATGCTAAATCAAAAAAAGCAAATGGAAATTCATGAAAATCTATATTATCTCTAGTTACGTAAGATTTTGATTTACTGTGAATTATTGCACTTTTAGGATCCTTGGCCCTGCTTAATATTGAATTATTTATTTGATTTTCATCAATCTTAAAAATAAAACTATTTGTTTTAATCCAATAATATTCATCTGGAAGTCTTCCTTTGATATTCCAACAAACTGGATTATAACCACCAACTAATTCACCAGTCTCTTTAATTTTCATTATAATAATGGTTTGTTCTATATCATAACATTTTTTCTCAAAAATTGACCTAGAGAATCCATCTTTGGTGCCCTGAAGAATTAATTGAAATTCATATGGTAAATAATATAGGTCATTGTCTTCACCAATCCATTTAGAAATTAAACATCTTATATTTAGATTTAATAATTTTTCTTTTTTTGCTCTTGGACCTCTTTGAAGTAACAAATTTGGTTGCCATTTATCACTAAGATAAGATTCAAGGATTTCTACATATATTTTTTTATCAAAAGCCTTTTTATAAGGTTTGATTTTTTCAAAAAAATCATTTGTAGATATTTCTTTAAATCTTATTAATGGAATAATATCTTCTATTATGTTTTTCAATTTAATGAAATCATCCTTATTCCACTCTGAAAAAATTTTTTTTCTCAATTCTTTATTTTGTGCCATTCCCCATTGAATAACATAATCCCAAATATCTATCTCATTTAATTTTAAATTGTCTTTTTCTAATATAGAAATAAACATTGATTTATCAATGGCCTTGAAATCATCAGATTTTAATAATGCTTCTGGATTTTCACAAATTATTTTATTAAAATAATAAGTAAAGTGAATAAATGATTGGTGTTTTAATGAAATTTCATGAATGTAAACCAAATTTTCTTGAAACCATTTTCCTTCATTTTTGATTAAATAATCTTGTAGTTCATCAATTAATTCAATAAATCCTAATTCATCACAAGCTTCAAGTAATTCAAGAATTTCTTTTGCATCCATATTATTTATATTAATAATTCCATTGTAAATATACCTTTTAAAAAAAAATTTTAAATAAAATTTTTGTTTTATATTATTTAAAAAATTATATTATTATAAAAATCAAATAAATTATTGAATAATAATTCTTACATTAAAAGAACTTCAAATATTTTTGGAGCAAGATTTTCTTTTTCAAATGAGATAATGCCATCTCTAGATTTTTTTAACCAATTATTTGACAAAGCAGCTTTAAAATATGAAGATCTTGCTTTTAGAATAATAGAATGAGCTTTAAAAGTTTTAACCTCCTGACCCACTCCAACTTTAATTTCTAGATCATAATAATCTGATTCATTCAACAAGATTGTTAAATCTTTTACAAGTTTATTGGTATGATTAATGGTAAAGCATCATTGTTTGAATTAATAAGATTTGACATTTTGAAGAGTGTTTTTTATTATTTTTTTTTATATGACACTTTATTTAGCAATTATCCTTTTAAGGGTAACCCGAATTTTAAATGAGTGTGCCACGAGAATTGAATCCTTTCTACAAGTGTATTAGTATACATTTACAATGATCTAAAAAAAAAGCACAAGTGATTTTTTCATTATAACGAATTTTAAATGCAATTTGTCTTATATATCTTGACGATTTTATATGTGATGCAAAATTTTAAAAAGTCGTTGTAACGCGAATATTATAATTCGTTGGAACAGGGTTTGACTATAAACAAAAGTTTATGCCTTTAGTAACAAAGTTTACAATGCATTGATTTATTAATGTCATCATATCTCAACCTAAAGATTGGGATTCTGTCAGAAATTATTTACTCGATTAATCAATCAAGAGAAATTTATTTTAATTATTAAAAAGATCAAATTTTTTTTTACAATACTTGATTTCGAGTTTTTGTGTTTGTTAGTAATATTATCATCAACAACACTGAATAACTTCTCACTGGGAACTGATGTTGCTGAAATCCTTCAATTATTTCTGAAAGAATTGGAAAATCTCTTTTATACTCGTTCCACCATTTGAATACATTAATATTTTCGTCAGGAACTGTTGTTATTGTCTCATCTAAACATTTATCAATTTCATCCAAATTTTTATTAATGTTTGAATTGTTGCATTAAAAAGTAATCCTTGATGTAATGAGTCAAATTATCATTAAAATATTTTGTGCATCTTGAACTTCTGATGAGGTCCAAGAAATGCTCCTTTTTTTACTTCCCCTCGTAAATAATTTATTTTTTTAGTATGTGTTTGAGAACTAACAGCATTTAAAGATGATGATATTTAATGTTGTTGTTTCTAAACTAGAATAGGACCACAAATATATATTAATTTTGATCTGATAAAAGGAAAAAATTTCGATTAATCAGTCAGTCAAAAAATAGATTTTTGACTAATATGAATCGATTAATCGAAAAAAATTTTCGAGTCCAATCTCTATATCAACCATAGAAATGTGTTTGTATTTGAAATTTGTCATAATGATCCGAGATACGGGCCGTGGACAATAGAAACGGATTATGTTGTGAAAAAGAAATATCACTTCTATATGTAACTCCTCATGTAGAACATTTCTAGCTTAGAAACCATACCACTTTGCTTAATAAAATTTTGTGCCATTGTGTATACTATCCTGATTCCGTTTCATTGTCTTCGTTAATTTCGTCAACCTTTTCTACATCATCTCCTTCATCAGTATTGCAATAGGTGCCGGGGATATACAAGAGAGAGAATAAGTGTCTACATTTCTGAAATGGAATATGTCTGATTTCCTTTTCCATAATATATGCTTGCCAATTTTTCAAGTGGGTGATGAACTTCGATGCTGGAATACTAATTTGCCTTGATATCTTTTAACCTCATGCCTCAAAAATTACTCAACAATAAGATTGGCATTACTGACGTTTGTTTCTATGAACCGACCACGTTTTCGGGTCGTGAGGCACGCCCATGCCTCTTCTATCAATGATGAAAGTAATTGATCGAGCAATCTTGAATTTCATTATTATACAATGTACAAAAAAATTAGAATCCCAATAAATTCTATGAAACACACAAGTTCCGAGATACCTTTAAAACATTAATTGACTTTATATTATCTCAAACCTTTTCGATTCACTTGTATGGGTGGATTTGACGTATTTCAATAAGTAAATTAGGTGGTGGTGATATCCCGTCAAAAAAAAAAGATTTCCTTGCTGTTAGAGTTAAATTGATTTTTGAATCATTTAATAAGTATTAATTTCTAAAAAGACTTGATAAAAATATTTATTTTTATTAAATAAAGTAGTAAAGTAATAAAATATATATTAATTCATATTAAATTCATTTTTTATATTTGAAATAATTTTTACAATATAAAAATACATTCTATAATTTTTTTGTGTCTTTGTTTACTATAGAAATAGAGATGAAGTTTTACTTAGTTTTGTTCACAGAATTATTATAAACGGGCATATATGGGGGGTTCTCTAGCAAAAACCGGTTCTGAGGTTCTCTGACCAAATTTAAAAGTACAGTAACTAACTACATATATAAAAAACATGTGTTAGAAAATAGACCGGGTCATTGAGACCAACGAGTTTTGGTGCCATTAATAAATCATTAATACTAAATATGGTTAAAATGTTACTATTACATTAATAGATTCAATGGACCAGTACCATGGCCAGCAGCCCTAGTGTAACGTATTTTTGCAGAGATCGTCGCTCAAAACATTTGTTGGATTAATAAAATAATTAATAATACCCCTATATATATTACGTGTAACATTTTGATAAAATGACATAAATATACGGAAAAACTTTGATGTTTTATACTTTGATATAATAATAATATACTATCATGTCTCGCAAAAACAAATCTAAAAATAATAGACGTACAACTCGTGGAAAATTCACCATGAATCCTAAGCCGCATTTACAATATCAAAATCGGGATAAACATATCATTAATGAGAATAATAAATGGGAACATACAAGATACAAGGCGGTATTTGGTTACCGAGAGACACGTATATATTTATAGACAACTGTTTTATACCTGCGTCTAAGAAAGATCCCGTAGAATATATTTATGCACTTCCCTCAGAATTTCACAAAGAAGTTATCACCAGAGAATACATTGGAAGCGAGCATTATCTTGTATACTCGAATGAGAGAATCAAGGCCATGTGAAAATTAGAGACTCATCTTACGCATCAAAAATGATGTGACTTCCTTCGTTTATGGACATGCAAAAAAAGATAGTGATATGAACGAGTATAGCATCAAGAAATTCTTCTCGAAGAAATGGATATTGATATGGAATTAGATAATTACTTTTGATCAAATGATAGATTTTATTATTTTTATGATTCAGTAAAGATTATAAACATATAAAAAATGCATATCACATTTAGATAAAAGATAATACATAAGTAATGAAATCTTGAAAAAAAGTCCCACAAGTGCGAGTTTCGATTATAGAACAGGTGTTACTTTATTATAATTTGTGAATGATATTTTTCTCAGGAACGACTTGTACAAATAAAGAATAAAAAATAACAAAGTTTAATTTGACATATTCGTAGCGGGGGATGACGGTTTACCAAAAGCATGACCTTTATTAATTAAAGCTATACATCTTAACAAACGTTTATTATATGCTCAAATTTGGTTTTCTTATCAACGGCATTATTATTATCCTTAGGCTCGAGAATAACGGTGATAGAGTAACTATTCTCTCCAACTAATACTGTGATGGTGCTATTTTGATTCTTTTTTACACAACATTCTCTGAGGAATGGCAAAAATGATGTCACTAGTGCATAAAACTGAAAAAAACTGCCGAAGGTGGAATAAGCGAAATGATGAAACGTACCGCTCAACATTGTATCTAGATAATAAAATATTAATATGTCAGAAATTATTTTTTTCTTACAAAAAGTTTTGTCATTATAAGGGAAATCGAAAAGACTTAAATAGAAAAGGATCATATTATGAAAATGATGTTTTGAGAAACATATCTAATTTCAAGTATTTACTAATTTTTTTGAAATTTTGAAAAACAATATTTATGCAAGGTGGATATAATTTCTAACCCAAAAATTTTCTACATCAAGAGTTACATATAGAAATGGCGTTAATTCAAAAATTGTTTTTTTCACGTTTGTCTTTTTCTATTGTCCAGATTCCCACGTGTAAAACCTGGTCTTTTCATGGCGACATATGAAAAATATATTAATATATTCACAATAATATATCCCTCAATTTCAAGTTATTCTTTGTTCGTCAATAGTATTCATGTTTTGTGCGAATGATTAATTTTGGGAACCAATCAACAAAAAATTTTCCCGAATGAACCAGCCGGTATCTATATTAATATTAATATAGTCTAAAATGGGAATGTTTATAGTAATACTAACAAATCAGGATGACTTTAAAAACTTAAAAATTGACACAAAATGACCATTTTTGCCTTTTTTAGAAAGATCGCCGTGTATTTTTGTTTTGTTAATCCGTATACCAGTTACTTATAACTGCGTAGTTAATCGAACACCTATGTTCCTCAAGCGAATTTTTCTGCATGATATGAATAATTAAGACATTGATTACAGATAGATGAATAAAAGGTTTTAATTATTTTTATTATAATTTTGATATAGAAAAATAAAATAAACATGAACTTTGTATGTGAGAAATCAGCTAAATTCAAAGTTCGTCTCGAATAGAGAATACCATTCCTATTCTTTGGACTCGCGATTTATTAAATAATATTGTTATATTACTATCACAAGTTCTGCTATTGTTGCTACGTACGACTATGGGAAATTCACCATTTACAATATCAAAATCGGGACAAGTATAATCATATCATTGACGAGAATTATATTTATGACTTTCTTAGAATTTCACGAAGAAGTTATATACGTTGAAGGTGGGCACTATATTATATACTTGAAAAAGAGAATCGCAGAAAATCATGGCCGTAAAGGAAATGAGATATTCTCATCTCACGTATCAAAAAATAATGCAACGCCTTTCGTTTATGGACATTCAACTATATTCAAAGAATACAACGATATGAATGAGTGTAGTATCAAGAAGTACCTTCAAAGAAATGATATTGCTATGGAATTAGATAATAACATTTGATCAACGATAAACTTTATTATTTTTATGACTTATCTAACATACATAATAGATGAATGAAAATAAAAAATGCATATTGCAGTTACATCGTGTGAATAAACATAAAAGAATTCGTTCTTATAAAAGATTTAATAAAAAAAATTGAAAAAGGTTCTACTATCGCGAGTTTCGATTATGGAACAGGTGTTGGTTTATGTAGTAGTCTTGACAATGCCAATGACATCCTTCTCTTTGACGACTTGAGTACAAATAAAGAATAAAAATATAACAGAATTTAATTTGAAATACTCGTAGTAGGAAAATGAAGTACATGGGTAAAAAAATGAATTTAAACATTTTGTTAAGATGGCAGTTTTATCAAAAGTTAGACGTTTATTAACTATTACTAACAAACGTTCAATATATGTTTAATCTAAGTCGAATTTGGTTTTATTACCAATTGTATGAGTTTTATCTTTGGGATCGACAGAGTAGGCGTCATCACCGACCAATTTTTTAATGATGCCCTGTTTCTTAACATTGGGTTCGGAAGGTTGTATGTATTCGATATTATCTGATTAATGGAGAAATGATAATATTAATGCATGCAACCGAAAAAAACTGGTATGGAAGGCGAAATGATGAAACGTACCGCCAACTTTGTATTTTTGCATTTTTTTTTTTTTTTTTTTTTTTAGTGATATGCCAGTTTTTTTTTTTTTTGAATAGAGTACAAAAAGTTTTGTCGTTTCAAGCGAAATTGAAAAGACTTAAATACTGTCTAAAATAGTCCTAGTTCCCAGATGAAAAAACTCCATTATTGACATCACATGTGAGTCTAGACAATAAAAAAGGAAAATGATGTTTTGAAAAGTTTGAAGAATAATATTTATGCAAAGTGGACATAATTTCTAAGCCAAGAATGTTCTACACAAAGAGTTACATATAGGAATGGCGTTAGTTCAAATTTGGTTTTTTCACGTTATGGTCTTTTTCTATTGTCCAGACCCCATGTGTGAAACCTAGTCTTGTCACGGCGACATATGAAAAATATTCTTTGTTGCATGTTCCCCAATAGCATTCATGTTCTATGCGATGCGATTGATTGTGAGAATTAACGATCAACAAAATATTTTTTTCGGATGAACCGGTACCTATATTAATATAGTCTAAGTTGGCGTGTTTATTGTAATACTGATAATGCTAACGGGTTTATTTCCATGTTTTAAAAAATGAAAACTTTTTAGGAAGACTTATTGGGTATTTTTACTCGTATATCAATGGATGAGGTTGATAATTAAGTAATTGATTGCAAATGAGTTTTAATTATTTTTATCATTTGATACATAAAAATAACGTAGAAAAGTAGAGTGAACGCGAGCTCGCATGGAGAAATCAGTAAGAACCAAAGTTTGCCTCAAAAGAGTATTCTTTGGGTTCGTGATTATCATTCATTCCTGTTAGTGAAAATAACATTATTATTTATTATATTACTATCATTATTTTTGCTATTGTTGCTACTACAAACAATTGATTTATCTCTTCTTTTTCTCTAGTTCTGGCAGACGATGAAAAATGACTAACATATTAGAACTAAGGCCTATCTCTTCAGATAATACATTATATATTAGTAGGGAAATGCTTCTCTCTTTTTCTTCTTTGATCAAGAGAGTTGTAAATTGCACTCAAAGAGTTTCGATTTCATCAGAATATTCTGAATACTGCCTTACAGATACACGACTTGTATAGGACTATTGATTTGATCCAGCTAATGAAGAATGGTAAGATTATACATTTCACTTATATCCAGGATGATGGTTTACAAAAGAAACATACCTTGAGATATCATATCCTTATTCCATTCCCATACAACACATTAACCGGATCATCAAACGATGAATGAATGACCTTGGGATATTAGATCCGATGGGAATAAGTTAGTATAATACTATATAGAAAAAATAACTCAATTAACTTGCGTAATCAATAACCTCTTTTATGCCTTCACTCCGATAAAACGTGAAGTAATGTTTACGTGTGCCAAAGAATACATTAACCTCTCTATTCGAATAATAGAAAATCAATCGCGGATTAAGAACAGAAATCGGTTATATTATTATAGTCAAAAATGTGTTTTTCTATGGACGATCTCAGAAATTTTGACGTGCATCAATTAAGCGTCTTTTATATGGGCGATCGGTGACGCCATTAATCGAAGCAAGTCACGGTGGCGTTGTTGCTCTACAACTCGTACGTCCTCCCATCAGCTCATCTTTGTTTATGCCCAGAAAAGGATGACGGGATAATCATTGACCGGTTATTGCGAATCATTCAGGAAACGAACCTTCACTTCCAGATCCCATATCAGTATTAACCCATGGATGAACATGGTCGTCATTTATTTCAACATTTGACTAACGATTTTTGGTAACATTTCACAATGTTTCAGACCTAGGTATTCAGGTTAAAGTACGAACACGCGATTTTACATCTGTAATGAGATCACACGCACCAATATCTAGATGGTTGGATTTGAATACGAATGTGCAGTATTGCAGATAGCTATATCGATGGTTGAATGACATTTAAATGTTCCAGTCTACTGCTTTATCTCTCTGATAACAATGTCAGTATTATATTTGCAATTCGTGAAATCAAGGTAACAGAAATTGATATAGGAATGGATAATATCACGTATTGTCTCATCGTTGAGGTTATAGAATCCGCCGAGTTCAAGGTATTGTAGACTACGACACGAGTGTGCTATCTCTTTAATAGATGCAACACTAGCACCCTGCAGCATTTAAGTTTCACCATTTTGGGATTTAGACGTAAATGTGTGAAATTACAAATAGTTGTGTCGGTAAGTTTTTTACTTCTGTCAATATCTAATGATTGCAGATTGAGATTCAAATGTGTAGGTGCACGTATAGAGTTATTGGTGATACATTGAAAATAACCACCACTAGCAACAGGTATTTTAAATCATGGCACAACCGTGCAATTTTGAAGATAGATTCATAGACGATACGTCTAGATATTCAGATATTGTAATCTATGACACAATTTTACAATCTTGCGGAAGATTTGTCAATGTGCTTACAATGGGCGATGTCCAGATACTCTATCCTATGACACGACTGTTCAATCACACGGATGGACATATCGATTATTCTTCCATTTCAACGGATATTGAGATATTTCAGGTTAGGGTATGGATGAGCAATATTAATAAGTGCCGTATTGCTAAGTTTTCTAACTATTCTGAGATCTAGATGGACAATGTTCAGACATGCGTGTATAATTTCTCATAATTTTTTTATTTTAAGTCTGTAGCAGCTCATAATTTCAAGATGCCTTAGTTTGGAAATATGTATAATGAATTTAATCAAGATTCCATAACCAAATTCCTCACGAGCATAACGCAATACATACACTAAAAAAGATGAATATTTCAAAAAACCCCTCTGTCACGATAAAGTTTAGATCCTAATCTTTAAAAGGTAGGATAGAAAGCGACTTCTATTCTTTCAAATATCACGTGTAAAAATTGATGGTTTAAGAGACCTGCGCCATGCAACTATATAATAATAATTAAATATTATTCATCAATCTGGATTAGGTCAACGGGTGATTAGTCGGACGACATTTCACAGTCACTGATTTTAATATATGATCGACATACACGTTTTCTGTACAACGGATTTGACGAATGAATTGAACATAAACTCAATTTTTGTAAAAACAATCACGCATCTTTGACTTTTAAAACGCAAGATTTATGCGTCTGTAGCTCTTCCGGTTATGAGTAATGGCCTCTCAAAGAAACCTATGATTTTTGGCTTCAAAAGCTTAATTCTTTTCGGACATCAGCCCTATTAAGATCGTTTTAGCCACATCGAGAACTTTCAGAAAACATATGGTTTGTATGGGTTTCTTGAAGAAGGAAGAAATTAAAAGCAAAAAACGGTTTATAAGTTATTTATTATTATTATAAGAACTTTTTAATATAATTTTTTTCGCATTATTGTTCTCTAACTTTTGTTATATTAATAATGATTAGACAATGTATGAAAACACATTATTTTAATTGGAGTTTCTTCTACTCAAAAGGTTACAAAGAAAAAAATACTTTTAATATATTGATTAATATTCTTAATTTATTATCAATTTAATAAATTAATAATCAAATTTTATTATTATTATATATAGGTGATAATAATCTTTAAATTTAAAGCTTCGTTTATTTATTTTTACTGTGAAGAATTTTTAAGATAGTATGAATTAATGACAAAAAATGAGAAAAACACAACAATCTCAAAATTGAATGAACAGATAATAAAAAAGAAAAATATTAAATATGAAAATTGTATTAAATGAATTTAATGAATATATTCAATCTTATTTTTTTTTTGTCAATATTTAATTGATTATTTGTTTGCATGTTAAAGTAACTATATAGATATGAAAAAATTGTTCCAAATGATTATATGGCTGAACAATGTACCACTAAATAAAAGAAGTTTGTGATCTCACTGAGTTCTACGTTAACGTTATAATTTATTTCTACATATTATTATACCAGTAATCTTTAACTTTACTGGATGTTCATGAATCATGTAATAGATCTTTAGATAATATTTCTGTATATAATAAAAATTTTATTAACAAATGAAAACGAAATTGAATTTATATCAGTTTGTAGATTCTGTCCTCATAATTTTTCCCGATATAAAAATTAAATGAAAAAAAATTTTTTTTTCATTAACCATTAAAATTAATAATACTTGGCCAAATTTAATAAATGATCTTACCACTCATCAGAAAGCTAAAGAAAGTCACACTATTCAACATAATAAAAAATTGCATATTGTTGTTTGTTGTTATGAAATTTTAATGTTTATTGATAATTTAAAATATCAGCCAATTTACACTTATAATTGATAAATTAATATTTGCTGTTAATATTTTAATTTTTGGAATAAATTGACAATCTTGTATTCATTATAAAGTCGAAGTTCCAT